AAAGTCGTATGTAGTTTTGACGCTATATGTGTAGTGAATGTATTTGTAAAGTTATCGATTTTGTAATTATATGTATAATGACTGTATTTGTGAAGTTGTTCTGAGGATCGGCTTGTGTTGAATTATAAGCCGGTTTATCTGAATTACAATGATTATGGTATATATATATATATATATATATATATATATATATATATATATATATATATATATATATATATATATATATATATATATATATATATATATATATATATATATGTATATATATATGTATATGTATATGTATATGTATATATATATATGTATATATATATATATATATATATATATATATATATATATATATATATATATATATATATATATATATATATATATATATATATATATATATATATATATATATATATATATATATATATATATATATATAAATATATATATATATATATATATATATATATATATATATATATATATATATATATATATATATATATATATATATATATATAAATTATAAGTAGATGAATGTAATTGTTATAAGTAGGTTTATCGGAAAAAAAAATAAAAAAGTGATTTTAAATTTTTTTTTTTAAAGACGTGAAGAATAGGCAGCGCTTTTATTGAGAAAGCGCTGTTAAAGGGAGGGGGGCATATAGACTGCTCAAGAAAGTGCTGCTATAGGGGGGAGGGAGGGGAAAGACAGCGCTTTACAAAGCGCTGCTAAAGGGGGGAATAGGCCGTGCTTTTCAAAAGGGGAATAGGCATCGCTTTTGAAAAGTGCTGCTAAAGGGGGGGGGGGGGGGAATAGGCAACACTTTTCAAATGTGCTGCTAAAGGTTTTTGGCATGATATTCTATGCAGAAATACCCAAGATAATTTAGCCTATACTCGAGTTTGTACAAGACAAATACAAATTCAAGTGTAGGAAAGAGAATCTGAAATTTTCTAAAAAGGATATGAATTTTTGTAATGTGATTTATGAAATAGAAATGACTTATTTATACACCACATTTGTGTTGTTTCACAAGGTTGCGGTCATTGATGAAACAACATTTTTTCAACAACACTTTTTACCAATAGTTGTGTTGTTTCGCATATAGCAACGTTTTTAAATAGTTGCATATTTTCATTTAGCTACATTTCACAAAGTTTTGCATATTTTCGAATTCAAAAATCAAACTGAAGTAATGATCAAAACAAGAGCAACAACTATTTACGCGAGTAGCCTGATTGCTCCGATGCGTTATGCCTAAGTGCCGCCACTAGTGCTTTTTCACCCACGCCCCCAGACCCGGAGCCGGCATCGACACTGACGAGGGGGTGTATGGAGGAGACAAGTGACATATTTTTCGGGACCGTCATACTTGTCTATGTGACACTTTATCTTCTTTTGTCTTTTTGTTGAGTTAATGAACATAAATCCTTATAAAGACTTTTAATACGAGTGCCACTTTCTATTTGAGACTATTTCTCAAATATTTATTGACATTTATTTACTTCCACTTTTCTTGTCATTTTAAAATACATCCATGGATATTTATTGTTCATAAATTCAACATATAGTTCGACTGGCGTAACTAAATTCAATCAAATTTAATTGTTCTCTATGTAGCTTAGAACAATGTTAACAACTCATTTTCTTTTAGGTGCTAGATTAATATGTGCACATTGCGCATGTTAGTTTACAAGGATGATCATGGGATGTGGATCACAGTGTCTCATCACGCGGCGTTGAGGCAAGCATCTCAAAAAGCAACTCCGAACTTCACTTTGTAGCTTGATAAGTATTCTAAAACGTGATTTTTTTTATAGATGATCCATAATATATTTTAGGTTGAGCTACTTAGACTCATACTATTACAATTTGTATGAAATTTTATAATTATAAATTCTCTATCATAATTTTTTTAGAGTTAATGAAGTTTTTGGTCCCTCTAAATATTACATATTTCATTTTTAGTCCTTCCAAAAATTTTCTTTAAGATACCGTTTTTAAAAAAAATTTCGTCTAAATAATTAGTCCCTAACGTCAAATGTCACCAACGGATTCTTATGTGGCATGTCACATGGAACTTTTTTTATAACTGGACATATGCGTGACAACGTGACAAAAATCAGACGTAGATGTCACGTTGCAATTTATTCCATTTTTTAAAATTTATTTTTTATATTCATAAACACATATTTTGTAACTAATTCTTAGCTAATTTCAAGCTAATTCTTAGCTAATTCTGAAAATTGAAACTTTCTAATTACGCAATTAAATTGTGTTTTCGATCGCATAAACTAGTTTGTTGTTCGAATTTTACTATGCTAGAGTACTATAAATTCATTATGCACGACCCTTAAGGATGACGGCACACTAACAATAAATTCATCTGTCAATGGAGTTGTTCATTTCATGGCTTCAAACTAAATAGGCCCTTATTTAATAACTTCGTCTTTCACATGTGTATAAATGGAGAGCGAGGAATGTTTTAAGAAATGAAAAGAGTGCAGTAGATTCTTATTTTCTCCTTTTGGAATAAGGGAAATATTTGTCATGTATTGAAAAAATTGGGAAGAGCAGTAGTGGTTAAGCACGAATTGACCTCAGCTATACTTGACAATTTTAACATGATCGATAAACACTTTATAGTGGGAATTTGACACAAACCTTTCGGAAAACTAGCTAGAGATGTTCATAACTTGCGAATGAAAATATCCATATGTAAATATGTCACAGACGCCACAAAATGCAGGAAAAAAACAGATGCTAACATCAATCGCTCAGCAAGCATGAATATAGGGTTAAAATTGTAGTATACCTACCCCCACAACAAAAACATGGTTTGAACATGAAACAATCACGTTTAAAATTAGTTTTAGAAAGATATCTTAGAATTGAATTTAGTGATACCAAGAAAGGATGTTATGCCCAGGAACAACATTTCTCTTTTCTAGAACCACCATTGTCCTTCCCACAATGTCAAGGTATGAATACTTGGTCTGCAAAAGTTCAAAGATAAAACCATTTTAGCTGCTAGTTTTACTATATGCTATAAAGATAACAAGTGAAATTCAGCAGTAGCACGGACAAATATATCCAGAGAAGAAAGAAATTCCTGACACATAATCACTTTTTATTGGCGTTTGGGATCGTACCTATGAAAGTCTTTTTTAGTTCAATCGACGCAAAAACTATACATATCTTGACTATCTATAAAATTGTATCTTTGTGAATACATTTAACTCATGTATTTGTCTAGTATTTAGAAGTTTGAGTGTTTTGACATTATCCGTATTATCAAGGGAAGTAAAAAGAAGAAGGGTGAACTGATATGACTCATCATATATAGTTTAAAACATGGCTTGAGAATGTTATGATGTTTATTGTTTCTTACAAGTCTCCCCCACCAACTTAAGCCACTCAAATACAACTTTTTCAAATATAAGCTATAGAACACCATAGCGGAATTTTATCAAACACCAAGTTTTCTAGGTTATATGATTTAGTACACATGCACTATAGTACTCTAGCATAGCAAAATTCGAACAACAAACTAGTTTCTGTGAACGAAAACATAATTCAATTGCGTAATTAAAAAGTCTCAATTTTCAGAATTAGCTATGAAATAGTTACAAATTCTAGATTTATGAATATAAAAAATAAAAAATGGAAAAAATTATCATGTGACATCTACGTTAGAGTTTTTTGCCACGTTGGCACTGCCATGCGTATGCACAATCATCAAAAAAGTCCAGGGTTATATGTCACGTAAACATCCGTTAATGACATTTGAAATTAGAGACAAATTATTTAGACGGAAAATTTTAAAAGAAAGATTTCTTAAAAACAAAATTTGGAAGAATTAAAAACGAAATCTACTATATTTAAAAAAGAAAAAAAAATTCACTAACCCATTTTTTAAATTAATATTAATTCAATCAATAATCATGCAATTTATTTAAGTGAGCGAGCAATGTCGAATATCTTGATATTGGTAGTATTGATTTCAATATTTCATATGGATATGGCAATCAATCTAACTTTTTGGTAATTTAGAACAATGATCCACACATTCAAATATGAGATTAGCTATTTTGAAATTCCAAAAACAAAAATGAAACGATTTAAAACGGATATTTCGTGAAAGATTCAAATGTGTGGTATGAATGAAATCACTTACCCTTTGGCATCGCCATTGGGAAAGAGAGAAAAATTGTGACTTGGTCACTGCATTCTTTCTCCAATCATATCTTACTCTCTTTTCTCTCCCATTTGAACACTTCATCAAACACATGGTGTCCTCACTCTTCATCACAATACTAGATATTCTCTACTCGCAAAGATTGGATTTTTCCACATTATTTGGGTCTCGTCCCTTCATTACTGTTACCCTATTTTCCCTTTCAAATTTACTTCTCACTTTTTTCTTCTCTGTACTAATTGACATAGTTTTGCCTACATTTGTTATATACTCTTTCTTTATACCTTAACTAATCTCATTTGGCTGTTATTATTGGGTAATTTTGAGTATAAAAGTTTGATTTTTTGAGAAATGGGGCGTGTTTGAATCTGTGTTTTTTCCTTCTCATTTCTCTCATGTGTTCCCCTTCCTTATTGGTAATGTACAATCATAAAAACTGTTTCATTGAAGCTGGTTAATGTTGAATATGTGTTGCCCCTTGATTTGTTTTTTTTAGGGTTGTTTTGTTTCCTTGTTTCTGTCTAATTAGAAACTTGTTTCTCTCATTAAGATTTGAGTTTTCAATACTATAAAACACATGCTCTATTGCCAATTTTTCGCTTGTAAAATAAGGTATCTATGTGCGCAATTGTAACTGCAGAAACTAATCCCTCGAGGTGACGGAGATCTATTTAAGGGGTTGATCGAAAAACATGTATCCTATTGTGAATTCTATGTGAAAGGAATGAGCATTATATGTTTTGTAAATTTGGAAAAGATAAGAAGTTTTTTGTGAGTGGATAGTGTGGAAAAAAGACTAGAATGAAAGGGGCAATTGATGAGGGAAAGGATATAAGTCCAATGTTTCCTAGGTTGCATGTGAAGGATGCAGAGAAAGGAGGACCAAAAGCACCTCCAAGAAATAAGATGGCTCTATATGAACAATTTAGCATTCCTTCGCAAAGTTTTACAGCGGGAGGACCAGGTTCAGGATCCTTGTTTTCTCTCCCTTTAAGAAACTGCACAGTTCCTTCATCATCAAGCCAAGTGAGTCTTGTAATAGTTTTTTTTTTTTTTTTACATTTTACCATGTAATCAATTCTTGTACCATCTTATGAGTCTTATCTTTCACTTATTTTTATTGATAGAATGGAACTTGCTTTTTTAAACTTTCGCCATCCCTTTTATACACTAAGGAAAGTTGAAGACTTTTGGTAGGAGTATTAAGCTTGATAGGCATTAAGTTGCATGAAATGAAATTGTCACTAGAAGAAAATATGTGTTTTTTATGTGTAGTTTTGTTGGTTATGCCTCATTGTTAACTGTTACGCACCCTTTAGGCTTGGCCCAAACGTTTGTTGTTAGACTCAGACTGTTCCCGCAGTATGATTTAGAGGCAATCTTGTGAACCGGACCGTAGTATATAAACATGGTGGTCTCAAGTTTTTGGAGGTCCTATGTAGGTTAAGTGCAGTTTAATCATGGCAAAATAAATAGAGACCTTATTTAACCACGATTTAACTGCGACAAATATTTAATGACGCCCTATTTAACCAAAGTTTAAACATAGTGAATTTTGGTCATTGTGCGGTAGCCAGTCTTACACACCTTCAAAGAAGGCCCTGTATATAAACACAAATTCTATTATGTAAACCTTAAACTTGAATAATAGAAATATACTGCAGCTACGTTGCAGTTGGCAACACAGATGCAACCGGTTGAACTCCGTTATCAAATATTGTGTGTTTTCTGTGTTTCTTTCTTAGATTTTTACTGTTGAACCAGGTTGTTGCTTTAACAATATTTGTATATTAATAAGAATTAAGAATTAAGAATTAAGAACTCCGTTGGTTATTCTATTTACATTTTATAACCATTTTAGTTGCGATGTTTATGCTGTTTTGCAGCTTGGTTATAATCAAAGCATCAACTTCTGCAGCTCCAAATCCAATGCAATTTCTATTCTATCTGAGAAGACTCAAGCCTATAATTCAAGAAAGATTAACTTAACACAGTTGACAGTGAGTCATGACTTAGAACACATGAAACCTGCAAAACAAATTACCAAAGTTCAGCAAGATAATTACATCGATAGTAGTAAGAGTTCTCTTAAAACACTTGATGGTGAAGATGCTTTTATAACTCCCAGTTCTGTTCATCTGAAAAGTTCATTCTACGGTGGCATCGTCCAAAATGAAAAAGATGAAGACAAACTTGGTCGCTGCAATTTGAACTTTTCGTTTAAAAGTCTAAATTCATTTAGAAAGGTGATGAATTCATCTGGAGCCATAGAGCTGAAATCATCACAATATGGGAAGAACCAAATGGAAGAGGATAAAGATGCGAGTCAAATTGATCGAAAGGCAAAGGAAAAACCTCCTCACTCATTAAATGGTTTTGATGACACAACAAATGAATCGTCAAACTCATCGGCTAAATACACGAATTCTAAATCAATGAAAGAAGAAACTAAAAATATTTCAGTAGATAGCTTGAAAGCTTTGCAAGGTAGCAATGGTCATAGACATGAAGATCATGCAGCTTTTGTAGACAAAAACAACTTCAGAGATCATTGCATGGAGAAGCCAGCAATAAGTGATGTCCAAAAATGTTCTGGCGAGTTAGAAATCGGTAGAAGGTCTTTACATGGAAAGAGAGAGAGGAGTAGAGACGAGGAGACTAGTAGAAATTATGATGCCTTGAATAAATCAAGCTCAGAGTGTAGGTTTGGTCTGGATATCATCCCTGACGATGTCGTAGGACTAATAGGTGAAAAGCAATTTTGGAAAACAAGAAAAACTATCATCAAGTAAGTTTATCCGTTTTTTTGTTTACATAGGAACTATACTGAGTTTAATGTTATTTTACATGTGAAACAAACCTTATGTTTCTGAATTTTTTACTTGAAGTTTTACATTTCTGAAATCGTAACGCAGATTGAATCATGTGTACTATTTCTTGAAGTACTCATATTACACACATTTGTTTATTTGAAATGTCTGTATTTTTCTCCTGACATGAACCTGGCTCTGACTTTGCTATATTCAGTCAACAGAGAATCTTCTTCATGCAAGTGTTTGAGTTACATAGACTTGTAAAGGTAATTTCCAAGCTATATGTTTATTGAATGTTTCCTCTGTTGAATATGTGTTGCTTTCATATGAAAAGTGACTAAACATATCTTAAAAGCAGGTCCAAAGATTAATTGCAGGATCACCTAATCTCTTGTTTGAAGACAACCTTGTACTTAATAAACCACCAATGAAAACATCCTCCCCCGAGAAACTACAATCTGACCTTATCACTGAACAACCATTGACCGTTTATAAACATGACAGCAAGTCCGAGAAAGCCTCTACTTCCGAGGATGTTAAAAACAGTGCAGTTGGGAACATTCCCTTTCCTTGTGTGAGCAACATAAGCAAAGACCATAATCGGCTTTCATATTACGGCAATCAACATTTGGGAAATCTTACACTAGTCTCTGCAGATAAAAATTCAAATTCCATTTCCCTATCCAAACAATCTTCAAGCATTGTCTACCCATCACCACCAAACCAATGGTTAGTTCCTGTCATGTCTCCATCTGAAGGTCTTGTATATAAGCCAATCATTGGACCATGCCCTCCAAATGCCGGCGGCATCATGACACCACTTTACGGAGCTTGTGGTGCATTGAGTTTGAATCCAGGAACCAAAGATGTTTTAGATCCATCTCTTACAAGTTTTCATCAAAAGATTGGAATCCTTTCTGGTTCATCGTTACCACAACTGTTACCACCATGCGTTCCTTCGTTCATGCATAGATCGATATCAGCTTCATCTGTTGAACAAATGGGACAATCTAGTGGTCCTAAAAATCATCACTCATATGCAGAACTCAATTCAGCAATATTGTACCAGAGTCCTTCAAACATGTCTACTCAGATAAGCCAAGTAATGTCAAGAAATATTTCGACTTATCAATCATTGGAAGATAATAAAGAGTTACAAGTAAGTACAGCCAGTAGTCCATCCAAGAGAATGAAAGGAGATGAACTTCCTTTATTTCCGCTGGCACCGACATTTTGGTCATCGCCAGATCGCGACTCGCATGTTGAGCATCAGTCAAAAGTAATCAAAGCTCTTCCTCATAATAAAAAATCAGCAAGTGAGTCAGCAGCCAAGATATTCATGTCAATACAAGATGAAAGGAAACTTTTGTAACTAGTTTTTATATATAATATGTCTAATAAGTTTCTAATTTGAAACTATACCTTGACACTAACAATGCATCTATAGATTGATAACAATACTTGAAGAAACTGGAGATAGATGAAGAAGAAGCAAACTTGGAGAAACTGGAGAAGGATTGTAAATTCCTGGTAAAATGCCATTGAAAATAAATTCATGTATCAACCATTGTTGTGAACACCCAATTTTGGGTCTTGATCAAATAAAGTCCATTTCATTTTCATGCAAAATTTCAAATTCTTAGCTATTTTTATTTTTTAAATTACACTTTATTTGTAGGATTAAATATGTTTTGCAAACATATATTTGGAGTTTAATTTATGAAAAAATATGTTTGTTTTGATTCTTGAAATAATGAGAAGGCTGGTTGTGGGGGCCTCCTGAGGGACAACTCAGGCAAATGGATTGGAGGTTTCTCCAAGAACATTAGTCTTTGCAGTAGCCTTGTTGCAGAATTATGGGGAGTTCTTGAGGGCCTTAGATTTGCTAGGCGAAGTGGCTGCGAGAAGATCGAGCTTCAAACGGATAGCAAAATAATTTCAGAGGCAGTGAAATCCACAAAACCAATCATCAAGGAGGGAAGTGGAATTCTTCACCAAATTAAAGATTGTTTGAATGAAAACCAATCATCAAGGAGGGAAGTGGAATTCTTCACCAAATTAAAGATTGTTTGAATGAAGATTGAGAAGTTATCATAAAACATGTGCATAGATATGACAATCAGTGTGTGAATGTTATGGCTAATATGAGCTTGCATCACGATCTTGGTCTGTGGATTTATCATGAGTATCCATATGATATTGCAGATCTTCTTGTTCGGGATAGCTTTGAGCTTGCAGTCCCTCGATTTACCGTTAATTAGTTTTGTTTTCTTTTGAGCCTAGACCCTCCTTATCTAAAAAAAAAAACCTATAATTTACTAGTTTTCTCCAAAACTAAACTACTTGGAGGTAGTAATATATTTGTAAGAAATACCATAATTAAATCTTATTTCTATTAGGCTTTTAACCAAGATAGGGATAAGTGAGATTTAACCAAGATTTATAGAGGTTCGCTAAAATTTATTTTTTTGGAATTTCGCTAAAAATATCTGTTGAATTTTTACTAGATTATGTTCACGAACTTTTTTACAAACAATCGACTAAGATTTTATAAGGTCGGTCTCTCTAACTAAAATGAACATTTTCACAGGCTAAGCTCAGGAGTCAAAAATGATATTTTTATCGGCAGATCTCAGAAATAAAACAAAGATTTTACAAAGATAACCTCAACATCCAACTAAGATAAACTTCAAGAGAATCACACTCTTGATAAAATAGCTGAACACCACAATTTAAACCTCACAAAAGTATTTCGCTCACAAAAGCACTAAGACAACTTTTACCGAATATTAATATGCAAATGAGCCTGATCATTCTTCATCTGACGAAGACATTAGTGTGTGGGAGAAAGATGGAGATGTGAAAGATGAAGATGTCCCTATCACGCACGCTTCTTCTCCCAAGACAAAGTTGGTAGTGGACAAGACGACTAAGGTGGCTACACAGCAAAACATCCAACAACTCAACACTAAGGACATTGTTGATGTAACATCTTCTTCCAATGACGCCCTAGAAGTCTGCAGCGCTGCGGGGAGCAGGGGGAGAGTTGCAGATAGTAGGTCCCTTGAAGCTAAAAATATGAGGAAAAGGAATGGTAGACAAAAGTCAACTGTCGCCCATGGGAAAATGGCCAAAAAATTCCTTTTGGCCAATAGATCTTGTCAGGTACCCTGGCCTCGTGGAAAGAATAAAAAAAAGCAAATTAAAAAAAAGTTGTTCGTGATGTGGCAGAACCATCGGATCCTATCTCAACAAGCATGAATGAGCCTTTGCCAAAAAAGCCAGCAATTGTTAAGCCTGTGAAAGCCAAGAAGAAAAAACTCATGGTTGATGTGTTAAACAAGGCTGAGGGCACGATCACTAAAACCTTAGAGCCTTTGAATTACTTCATGCCACCAACTACCATTTTTTTTATCTGTTACTTCTTTGAATGATTCTTCAAAATTTTCGGGGGGATCAATTTTATGGTGTGACTGTCTCTCTATTGGTGGCATCAAACAAGGAAACATTAGAGTGCCTTGGACCATGATGTTGTTACCAAGGTACGGTTGGCCATCAAATCTCTTGGGATTGTTGGAGATGGACATGATGAAATCTTTGAGGCTAGGGATCTCAATGAAGCCAATGTAAGGAGGAGAATGCAAATAATTCTCCATGAATATTACATCTATCAATATCAGAGGGTGTGGTACTGCCATTAAAAGGAAAAGAGTAAGATATCTGGTGGAGAAAGGGAAGGTTTATCTAATTTTCATTCAGGAAACAAAAACTCAAAAAATGTCTAAAGCAATTGTTAGAAACATGTGGGAACCAATTGATGTATCTTGGTCTGCTTTAGATGCATGCGGACACTCAGGGGGAATAATTACTATATGGAAACATGGCATTATAGATTCAATATTAAGTTTCAGAGAGAATGGCTTCATAGGAATAGAAGCTATCCACAAATGTAATACCATCTTCTTTTTGAACATTTACTCCTCTTGCCAGCTGGTTGAAAAAAGAAGAACGTGGACTAAAATCGTTGAATGGAAGAATAGGTTAGAGGTTGGTGAGTGGATTATTGGGGGGGATTTCAACTCAGTCAAACATAGGAATGAGAGAATAAGATGTAGTGTTAGAAGTTACAGGTATGAAATTGAAGATTTTGTTTTCTTCATTGATTTAATGGAAGTGGTTGACCTCCCAATTGTTGGGAATTAGTTTACCTGGTTCAATTATGATGGGAAGTCTAAGAGCGGGATTGATCGTTTCCTTGTGTCTGAAGGCATCATAGATTCCTGGAAACTTTTTGCCCAAGAAATTGGATGTAGGGATGTCTTTGACCACTGTCCCATTTGGATCAAAGATAGTCATGTGAATTGGAGTCCCATCCCATTTAGGTCAATAAATTGTTGGTTTGATAAAAAACAATTCTTGCATTTTGTGGATGAGCATTGATCTTCCTTCCACGTGACAGGTATGAAGGCCTACACTTTGAAAGAAAAATTTAAACTACTCAAGGTAAGTTTGAAGAAGTGGAATAAGAAGGTATTTGGCATTCTAGATCTCAAGATTGAGAATGTTGTTAAGGAACTAAACAACCTTGACAACATTATTAGTTCTCAACCATCAGCTGATTTGATTGAAGCAAGGAAAGAAGCTCAACATAACATTCACCTAAAGAAAAGTTTGTTAAAGCAAAAATCTAGACAAAAATGGATCAAGAAGGGTGACCTTAATTCTAGATTTTTCCACAAAATGATGACTTCTAGAAGAAGGAAGAACTGTATTGTTGCCCTTGTTACTAATGAGGGAAGAGTGAAGGATGCGCCTATAATAAAAAATGTTGCCAAGGCACATTTCCAACATATATTCACTGATCTTGGTGGACAAAGACCATCTTTGGCCGAGGTTAATGTAAGTTGGGAATTCTTGAAATACATGCTATTGAGGATGGGCTTTGGAATGAAATGGTTAAGGTGGATGAAGGGTAGTATATTCAAAAGCAGCATGTCCATTCTAATAAATGGAAGTCCAACAAATGATTTTGAGGTAGCCAGGGGATTGAGGCAGGGTGATCCACTATCACCATTTCTGTTTGCTATTGTGGCTGAGGGCTTGGCTGGAATCATGAGGAATGTCATGGATACCAATTTCTTCAGAGAATTTAGATTGGATGATGGATGTGGTGGACCTTCTTTCAGACTTCTACATTTTACTAATGACACCATCATGATTGGTGGAGGATCTTGGAGCAGCCTATGGGCAATCAAATCCATCTTGAGAGCTTTTGAGATGGCTTCGGGTTTAAGAAAAAATATGAGCAAATGCAAAAAGTATGACATATGCTTGTCACCTAAATTTTTGTTGGTAGCTTCCAATTTAATCTTTTGCAGTATAGACAAAATTCCTTTCAAATTTTTTAGGATCAAGGTTGGAGTCAATCTAAGGAGAACTGAAGCTTGGAAACACATCATCTCTGTCTTCAAGAGCAAGCTATCTAGGTGGAAGGGAAATTTTTTGTCTTTAGGTGCCATGATCACACTCTTGAATTCTGTACTTAACCATCTTCGAATTCATCGTATTTCCTTCTACTATATTCCAACATATGTCAAGAAGGAGATCATCAGCATCCAAAGACACTTCTTATGGCAAGGATTAAAAGAAGGCAAGAGCATTAACTGGATTAGTTGAGAATTAGTGTGCAAAAGCAAGTCAGAAGGAGGTATTGGTGTCAAGGAAATATCAACTTTCAACCAAGCTTTGTTGTGCAAATAGATATGGAGGTTCTTTAATGAAACTGATGCCATATTGAGTGGTATTGTGTCACATAGATATGGAGGAATCGTTCACAATCTGTAGCTGGATATTGACAAACAATCATCAGCTCTTCAATCCCTATGGTGGAAGGATCTCATGAGCATTGGTAAAAACATGAAGAGCAGTGTGGAGGACAGATATGGCATGAAACAATTGGTCAAATTCAGACTTGGAAATGGTGCTTCCACACCATTTTGGAAAGGCATTAGGATTGGTGCCTTATCATTGAAAGTCATTTTTCCTGGACTTTACTAACAGGCAATAAACAAATAGGCCATGGTAAGTGAGTGTGGTGATTAGATAGAGGGTGCTTGGCACTGGTAGCTCGAGGACTTTGATGTTGTCATGGATTCAACTCTTGCTAGTGAACTGCATGATTTGAAGATGATTTTAGTAGATATCTCCTCTAGCTCGGTGGAAAAAGATAAACTCATGGATGGCAGTTATTCATCATACTTTCTCTGTTAAGCAATGCTACAATAGTCTGTTAAGCAATACTACAATACTTTCAAAGAAGAATCTTGTCACACAAAAGATATTGAATTCAACATTAAATTTGTCTCTTGACTTTGAGTTTGTCTTCTCAAAAGATCTTATTTATGTAGCTTCCTTGAATGGTCCATTGTACCACTAAATTTGTTATTGCAATGTAATCACCTTGTTTTGGTGTTTCCCCACCACCCTTTAGACTTTTCTTATATGTTAATATGAGTATACATCATACTCTCATCAATAAAAGTCTATTGCTTATAAAAAAAAATAAAAATGAGTGAATATAAAAGTTTATATTTGTATACACTTGCTTAAAAATGAGGGGTAAAAATCACATTTAGGATAAAAAGCTAAAAATTCTAACTTAAACTATTTTTAATTATAGATGCAAAATCAATTATGCTAAATAGTAACTTTCACATCTTCAGAATCAATTCTGACGACTTCAAAGGTGAAATTAAACTAACCTAAATTCAATTTAAGTTGATACTATTATATATCATTCATCTACTTAAATATTATAATTTGTATAGCTTTATATACATATCATTATAGTATCCTAAAATTTCAGTGTATTAATCTGATCTGTGTATTGTGTTTGTGCAATATAGGTATTCTTCTAACTAAATTTGCATAAATATTGCATCCTTGTATATGCACAAATGAATAAGAAGTTAAATTATCCTTTCTTTTTCAAAAACTACAAACATAATAAGATGCAGGGGTGCGGGTTTGAAACCGCGACAACAATGTCAGGTTTTCGTTTTTGAGGACGTGCAAGACAACTTATCCGTATAAGGCCTCAAAATTTTCAAGACTAAACTATAGTTAAATGGGACCTCATAAAATAGTTTTTAAATTAAATCCGGATTAAATAAAGTCTTTATTTGTTTTGTCCTTGTTAAATTGTGATTAATCTATACATGACCTTCAAAATTTTGAAACGACTATTATCAAGTTGCGGCTATATATAGTACCTCTCAATATTTCTCAATGAGTGTCTTAGTACCACGTAAACAAACCAGACATGAAAAATGCACGCCGAGACTAATAACTAAAGGAAATTCTTACTGATTTTTAGAGTCATAATCAATACATTTTCTTGAATGCAGAATGTTATAAATGTGACAAAGACAAAAAAAATATTTATTCGTGAGTGTTGTGGATTTTTTTATTTGGACTCTGAAGACAAGATTTTGGAAAGAATAAGAAGCACATACTAAATATTCTATAGTTTTGGAGAAATTGGTGGGAATATGAAAAGGATTTCATTGGGGTTTTATAGGGTTTTGAAGTGTGGGAAGGAATTTTTGAAATTGCACGAGTTAGTTCAATTTCTATTTTTCTTCTCATGTTATATCCGGATCTATATATAACTTTAATGTTTTGTTTGAAACTAAATAAAAAGTAAAAGAAAAGAAAGTGAGAGGAAAGAAAGTGAACAAAAAGTAAGTAAAAAAATAAAAAGATTATTTGATTGTTTGGTAGAAGTGAAAAATGGAAAGAGATACTTGTTAGAATTTTGAATCACAAATGTAACAATTAAGGTGTTATGGCTATTGTTTAATTAGTCAAGATTTAGAGGGGTCTAATTAATATTAAGGTTGTGGCTAAAATCATAAATGTCATGAAATGTAAGATTATTGTGTAAATACAATAAATCAATATCTAATTTGACAAAAGAACAAATTAAAATATTGAAAACTAATAAATAACTCTAAGGTTAATTATGGGTTATGATCTCTATTTGTAGAGAGAGATCAAAATACACTATTTATCAGGATTCTCTCTTCATCCCCATCATAAGAGATTCAAGAAACCCTAAAAAATTCTACAAATTGCAATATCACATACCCGCAGACCTTCAACGATTTCAATGGCAAACTCAAGTACGCTTTCGTTTTCATTCTCTGATTGAATTCTGATATGGGTTTAAAGGATGTGAGTGGATTGCATATTTGACTCTTATGGATTAATTTAGAGTTCTATTCTTGATATCTATATTGAAAAATCTCATTTATTTTCTGCACGTCACGTATAGTTTAGAGTCACCTACAATTTAGAGCCACAAATGTTTAGAGTTTATGTTTAATTTTATTTATTTATTAAAACAAATAACTCTAATAAATAAATAAATAATTTTGGTAAATTAGTTTTTTTATTATTATTTATTGTGAGTGTACTTTTGCATTTTAAATGATGTCAAAATTATGATAGTATAGCGTTATGTATATTGGACGGTAACTCCACATTCTAGATGATCATCTTAGTATTAGGAAGCATTCAAATGAGTGGTCAAAACATTTAGGTCAACACATGCGTAAACACGTCGATCTATAGAAGTTTCAACTTCAGAATAGGGCGACATATGATTTTTTCAGGTCGACTTCCACAGATCAATATTAAAGCCTGTAGTCACTGCCTACAGGTTGCCTCACTTAGGCCGACACATGGTCGACACAAGACCTTCACAGGCCGACCTGAAACCTTCATAGGTCGACCTGAGTACCTTCACAGGCCGATCTATTGCTTTCATCAGTCAACCTGAGTATCTTCATAGGTCGGCCTATTGCCTTAATAGGCCAACGCATATGATATCTTCTCTAAAAAATTTCATTATTTCTCCATCCATTTGCATTCGTTTTGTTCATTTTCCTCCCGTGCATATATATACTCATACATGCATCATATTCTAGGAAAATATTAGTGAATTACCTAAACGAAACCAGAATTACAAAGTATTTCCATCATCTTCAACCTCTCTTCTATGCATACACACAATCAAACTACACATAATAATTTTTTGATTGGGTGACCATGTAGTTTAGGGTTGATAACGTCCAATTAGGTTAGCGTAATCGAGAAAATTGGATTGAGATCTTTGTGTGTTTCAAATAAGAAAACCAAGC